GCTGTTGACAGATTAATTCCAAATCCCTGGTTCTGCCATATTATATTCCAGAGATGTCACTAGTATCACATGCAGATTGTTTTCTGTGCAGGAATCTGCAACATGTAACAAACCGAATTGAAGCGCGCATGAAAACTGATGTTTCTGCCAGTCCGTTTCCATCAGATTTTCCACATGTATGGTGTGAATGAGGCCTAATACTACACCCCAAATAGATTGTATAGAAGAAACTTAAACCACATTCAGGGCAAGAGTTTACATTGTGGTCAGTTACTGGTTGCATTCATTTGTGCAAGTGTTTTTTTTTTTTTTTTTTTTTTTTTTAACAGCTCTTCATAACTAATTTTGGTTCACTACTTTTAGCAGCTTAAAATGTATTTAAAGTAGAACTACAGCCTCAGTATACACACATTATTACAAAACTATCAAACTTTCCTGAGAAGAAATATGACTGCATACATGAAAGAGTTAACCCAGCATCCACTTAGAAGCTTTAGAACATGTACCTTGATCTTGTTCAAGTTGCCTAGTTCAGGGTCATGTTTCCTCTATACAACAGAGCAGTTAGCGCAGTATGTACCTCCACAAGGGTCCTCCCTAAACCATCCTATTCATGATCTAGCTCCAGTTTGCTCTCCATCCCTTCCACTTGCAGGAGGCTGAAAGGGACTGTGCCACATGGCTGGAGGAAATTTAAGAATACAACACAAGGCAGAATACAAAGCAAATTGATTTATTAGTTGGAAATGGCAATAATGCTAGGTTCAATTATGATGCAGTTTTCAACATCCTATAATTCTGCTTTAACTTCTTTTACCAAAATTACTGAAAAAAAAAAAAAAAATTACCATCTCTAATCTGGAAAATATTAAAAAGAACTATATATAAAACCAGTATAATTTTCACAGAAATATAAAATTTCTAAAAAGTATTATAGCATTTACAGTCGACACATACAAAAAAAGGTTATAAATCCTTTAGCTAAGCTGAAAGAGTACAGAAAAAAGTCAAAGTGACATTAGGTGCAGCTTTAAAGCCCTAATAGTAAAAGGGGAAAAAAAACATAGCAAGCTTCTATTATTAAAATCTGAAACAAATATGGCACTGGAATCATTCACTAAACTCCCATGCCTATATATGAAATGTATCTAAAAGCAAATCTTTATTAGTTTAGATTTCCCCTCCCTTGAACATGGATAAAGTGAGAGAAAATCTGTCTAAAGTGAGGAAAGTTCCCCTTCAAGCAGTTTGATTCCCCCTCGCTTCCTGTTCTGGTGCCAATTGTGAAGTTTTGGATTTCCCATTACTTTCTTTTGTGGTGACAATCACCAGGACAAAGAAAGGTGACTCTTCCCAGTAGGAACACAGACTGCAATAAAACCCGACAGACAGAAGTTCTAACACTTCCAAACTATAAAAAAGTCCTATATACAAAACAAAAATGGCTTTGATTTTAAAAATAATTTGGGCCAGTTTACAGTGAAATGAGATCTGCGAGTCAGGCAATGGTCAAAGTGCCTAAGGAGATTAAAATCTGTCTTTGACCCTCGCTTTAGGCCTTATTAGCACATCTCGCACTTTCATATCCGCTATAGAATAATATTTCTGGTGGGTCAGGGTTCGTCACAATTCAAGAGCAGCTCAAACATCTTGACTAAAGATTAAGCTGCTCAGGAATAAGGTGCTAAAAAGCGTGAGTACTAATATCTCAAGTGAGACTGTAAGCACAGAAATATTGGTGATGCTGCTGCAGTCTTTGTATTAAAGACGTAGGCTCCAGCACGGTCATATAGAGACCCTGGCTTCACTACCTAGCATAGCAAACAAGCAGGATGGGAGTTGAGACTTCACGGGCTGCGCACTGGTTTCAGAGCAGTGACTCACTAAGCTCAGAATTTGTTCTTGGACAAAGATGCATGCAAATTTACAAACCAGTCAGAAACAGAAGCTTTCATACATACAGATTCACAGAAGAATAAAAGCTTATGGAATAGAATGATGTGGGAATCTACAGTCTGAGATAAGGCAGGTGTGTTTATTAGATGCACAAATCCATTTTTATATGAAAAGCCCCATGAAATTCCTCTTCACTCATCCTCTACCATTCGCTTTTGTAAGCTGAAAGTGAAAATCAAAATTAAAGTGTCAGAATTCTGCACAAAAACAATGAACAATTATAATTACCTGTTATGTACAAAATGTAATTTAATGGAAATGTGTTCAGAAAATATTTAAACTCTGATATTTATATATTTGTATTGTAAAAATATTGGATTACGGTGTACTAAATTTTGTAGATTAACCATTTATAGTCCCAAAAATGATGACATTAAAGTGGATACTGAAAAAAATCACTTGTAAATAAATCAGAACTTTTCCATAAATCAAATCTGAAGCTTTCTGTTGGTAATATCTCAATGTATAACATTGTTGGACACTGGTGATCAATTTAGTTCAAGGGCTTCTAATGCTAGCAATGCACATGCCAGTTTTCAACTGCAAAAACAAATAGAACAAGGAAAGCCATGTTAGAGTACAGGGTTGCTGCCAGCAATGGAGCACTAAGCGTGACATGCCCAAAACAGTGTATGCTTTTCAGGCCTCTTCACAACAGAATCACTGGAATAATGCCATCTCACAAATAACACAGCTGTACCTTAACCTAGCTGTGGAAAAAAAATGTTTTAATTTCCATGTTTTAGGGCTTCTTCAAAATTGCGTTGATGCTTAGCGGCTGAGCTGCATACGTATGACTATGAACACAAAAAGCCTTCAACATTTATTGCAACACGCACGCAAAGCACATATGTATTGTGGTGTGCTGGGGATGTGGAAATTTTTGAAAAAAATACTTGTCCATGGACTAAATCGGGATCGTATTTACTTGTGCCTCATGACAATCTACTTGTCCAGGTTAAATGTTTAATATTTTTAACATTACACTGTATCTCCTCCTCACTTCCCTGTCTCTCTCCAGCACCCCACCCAGGGACTAGCAGGGAGCGAAGAGACTTTGCAGTGTAAGGAGTACCGCTTGGGTGCTCGTCAGGAAAGGGCTCTTTTAAAACACTCAGCAGAAGCGCATCTGCAGAGTGAGTAAATGAACCACCAGCCCAAATGCAAGAAAAAAAAAAAAAAAAAGACAACAAACAAAACATTTTTATTCCTTCAGGTTATACTTGCACACAGAATCACTTGGGTGCTCAGTACAAGCGCATGCTGAGCAGCCAAATCCAGTTTCAATGTCTGCTCCACCTTTTTAAAAATAATAAATATAAATATTTAAATATAAAAATAATAAATATGGAGGTAAAAGAAAAAAAAAAAGTGCATTATTATTTTTTTTTTTAAAGAACCTGGAAAGCATTGCACCAGCGATCAGCAAATCGCTGACTGTCAGTGTAATCTGTCTGACCAAACATTGTACAGGTAGGCAGTTTCACACTGATAGGAAGAGTCAATGAACTACCGCAGCACTCAAGAGCGCCATGATAGTTCATTGAGAACCACAAGCTGACATCCGCAAAGGCTGTCAGTACTCACAGTGGATTAATTCACAGGTGGCTGTGTGGGTAGGGTCCCGAGCGGCCGCATTCTTTTCAAAATGTGACAGCTGGTATGGGGAGCTTCTCCTCACACTGCTGTCACAGAGGGCTCAGATCGGCGAACCACTGCAGGAGCAAGAACATGTTCCACTCTAAAAACAGAACATGTAACATGTTCGCATTGGTGAACTTATCCTTTATCTCTTTTGCTGCCAGAGCCCTTTTTATGTGTTTGCTTTCAGAAAATATATAATATTTTGTGGGTTTTATATAATCTTCAGGCCTAATATAGACACCCTAGAGAATAAAATAGTGTTAGTTCCAGTTTATGTCACACCATATTACCACAAAGGTCGAGGAAACACAATATTTCAGTTATAAAAAAAACAACACACACTTAAGTCAAATTTAGGGCACAAAAAGGCATTAAATTACCCATTGTTTGGTAAAACATAAAAGACAAGGTTGCACCAAGTAAATAGATGCCCAACATGGCAAACCTTAAATTTGTGTGCACTTGTGAAATGGCGATAAACTTCAGTACCCTATATTTTCTATAAGCGACGCCCCTTATGGGTCATTGATATAGTGTTATGGAGTTCTGGTGCTAGACTTATTGCTCTCATTCTGGCATGCGCAGCGATATGTAACGGGTATTGCAATCGGTTTCATGTGTAGGTTCCCTGGCCTGTGCGTTTGTACGTGCATATATGTGGGGGCCTCAAACAATTTAGGGGGTTATATGCTTGGATGTAACTAATTTTTTACAATCAGAAAAAAAATCCCCCCAATCACATAGGAGACACAAATGATGTGATTATTTTTAGTGACAGGTTCTCTTTATTGAGAGACCCTGCATGTCACCTCTGTGCTCCTATGAATGTAATGCAGTGCAGAGCATACTGCATTACATTCTTACCCCGGCCTTAATGGCTGGAAAATCTGTCAATGGGGACACAGAAGTGACGTTATACACGTAACCTCCGGGTCAGGACCTGGAGAGTGGACTTGGGCCTGCTCTTCTCCCTCCCCTTTACCTGCCAGTGCCTGCTGAGCCGGTCCCAAGCCTGCAGATGGGCAAGCGGAGCCTGGCAGATATAGTGTGGGCGGCTGCTGGAGGCTGGCACTGCAGTGGGATGTCACCTGACAAGCAAGCACTGATGCTTGCCTGCAAGGCTGAATGTAAAAAAAAAAAAAAAAAAAAAAAAAGCTATTAAAAAAATTAGAATTGGGAAGATTTTGACTGCTGAGTATCACAATATACTAAAAAAAAATATAATAATAATTTGAGAAAAAGTATGTGACTGGGAAGGAGTTACAATTGGTTAGATTTAATACACAAAATATGGAAGAAAACCTCCTGGGGAATAAGATACAGGTATCCTACAAGGGAAGGCATACACCCATAATGTACAGTAGGTAGCATATAGCAAAAAACACTGAGGCTACATTTACTCACCTTTCCAGATATTCTTTGACATTGTCATAACCAGAAAATTTGGCCAGGTGAATCAGCATCCCTGTGGCACACCGACCATCTCTCTTGCGACAGTAGCTACAATTGCATATCTCACGACATGGGGGACATATCCAATCCTATGAGGGGAGGTATTGGTTATTAAGTTAAAGTGGTTGTAAAGGCTTAAGGTTTATCCTCCTCTTAATGCATTCTCTCCATTTAGGTGCAGCACCCCCTTTTCCTGTTTATTGTAAGAGAGGGCAATGTGATATTTGACACATTTTTTGATAAACTAATGCATCAATATCTGGTTCCATGGATGTAGTGGCAATTCTCAATGAATTCTCAAGGTACTCAGATATTTTAATTCTAATTTTGCACTTCATTTGCTTCATCTTTGAAAACAGTTGCTCACAAATATAGGTGCTCCCAAAAATGGATGACAAGAACAGGGTGTGATTGTGAAGAGTGGGATATTTTTCTTTGGGAAGATAACATTTATAAAAGTCCAGTCAAGAGACACTCAAAATATTTCTTCGGCTGCATTTGATCAACAAGTATAAATGTATTTTTATAAAACATTAAAGAAAAAAAAAATTAATATTTTACAGAAAGTTTAGGATTTTGTATTGGGCCATATCCATAGCCATCTTGGGCAAGAGGTTGGACACCACTGACATAACTAAATGCAAAGATGACACCACTAGGTCTAAAATAATGTATGTAATGAAAACAAAGATCTTGTTTACAAACATTATGCTGTTGGGGGGGAAAGGAAAAGATGGAACCAGGAAATGCAAACTTTAAGCAGATTAAGCTTCAGCTGAAACTGACAAGCAGTATGATTTCATCTAAATTTGTTGCCAATTTGCTTGATAGATGTCCCTTGTTGTCTCCCAACGTTAATATCCAAATTACAAGATCACTGTCTGAATACTTACAGGGTCTAGAAGTGCCTCTCTCACATCTTCACCATAGCGATTTCGTAAACAGGGCCCACAGAACTGGCCTCTGACCCCGCCACAGCCAGGATTGCGGCAGAAAGTTTTTGTATCCACTGTTTTTTGGCGACACTGATGACAAGTACTTCCCTATAAAGAGAAATGCCAAGTCAAAGTCTTCAGAAAGAAAATATGTATGCAGTATAACAGGTCCAAGATACAGTCCCCCAAGTACATTTAAAGCCAATTGAATGTAATGGTAATAAATATTATACAGTTACTGTGTCCTGTAACGAAACACATGTAGTTTATGCATCATTTTATACTATAAAAAGGTATTGTCTACAGATGCCAATTTTCACTGCATCCTGGTAGTTTCTAAATCCTCTACTCCAGAGAGTACCACCTGGAGTCCCACGTAGACAATTCTCAATTTCCTGCTAGTTGTAGTTTGACCTGCTAGCCTTCCTTCCTCCTCTTCCTTCTTTCCGCAGCGCATTCCTCATTTCTTCCTATAGTATATCCATTAGGAGGCTTATGACACCAGTAGAGGCCTTCCCACAGGCTCATAGTTTTAAAGTTCTGGCTAGAGTGGGGCAACAAAATCTCAACAGGGAAATACAAAAATCAAACCCAGCCTGAACAAAAAAAAAAAAAAAAGTGTCAGTCCTACTTTCACAGTGTCAAAAGGTGCTGTGAATACCAGAAGCCTGGTTTGGGGTAGACAATGAATATCTGGGAAGCAGACCCCATTACACACAGTATTTTTCCGCCTTTTACAAATATTACATTTACAGAGAACATTTCTAGCGTAAAAAAAAAACAAAAACAAACAGCCCCCACACAGTATTTATTACCAGTATTTTGTCGTAAACCTTGTCTTTAACAGTATCTGCGACATTCGCCAGCTCCTCCTCTGTGATATCTTCTACTGAACGGTAATTGTATTTTGACGATCTCCGTCTCTTACGAATCTCTTCTTTTTCCTCCTAAAATGATAGATGCAGATTTTATTAAAATTAATCTGGGGAGCTAAGGTTTCCAACAAGGAGCCATTAAAAATTCTACACAGCAGTAGATGCAACATCCTGGAGGTGAACAAAAATGTGCAAACACATTAAATATGTAACCCCAACATTTCATATTCCTATGTACCTGCTGTACTGTCATGAAATGACACTGTTAAATGTTCCCTGCATTACATTAGGGTCCCCAGAGTTCCCCCACATTACATCAGGGTCCCCAAAAACACTCCTTCATACTTATGCCATGCACCTCATACAACCATAACCCCCCATAATCTCTAACTCCCCAAACATACCCTACCTTCTATCCAAGCCAGCAGTACCTCAAATGCCCCATACTCTACCACCCAGCTTGTATAACAGTGTAAATTTGCTGTCTTCTCAAAATAATTCAACACACAGCCATTAATGTCTAAACTGCTGGCAACAAAAGTGAGTACACCACTAAGTGAAAATGTCCAAATTGGGCCCAATTAGCCATTTTTCCTCCCCGGTGTCATGTGACTCGTTAGTGTTACATGGTCTCAGGTAGGACTGGGGAGCACGTTAAATTTGGTGATATCGCTCTCACTCTCTCATAATGGTCACTAAAAGTTCAACATGGCACCTCATGGCAAAGAACTCTGCCTGTCAGTGCTCAGACCATACGCCGCACACTGCATCGAAATGGTCTGCATGGCTGTCATCCCAGAAGGAAGCCTCTTCTAAAGATGATGCACAAAGCCCACAAACAGTTTGCTGAAGACAAGCAGACTAAGGTCATGGATTACTGGAACCATGTCCTGTGGTCTGATGAGACCAAGATAAACTTATTTGGTTCAGATGGTGTCAAGTGTGTGTGGCGGCAACCAGGTGAGGAGTACAAAGACAAGTGTGTCTTGCCTACAGTCAAGCATGGTGGTCGGAGGGTCATGGTCTGGGGCTGCATGAGTGCTGTCGGCATTGGAGAGCTCCAGTTCACCATGAATGCCAACATGTACTGTGACATACTGAAGCAGAGCATGATCCCCTCCCTTCGGAGACTGGGCCGCAGGGCAGTATTCCCACATAACGACCCCAAACACACCTCCAAGACCACTGCCTTGCTGAAGAAGCTGAGAGTAAAGGTGATGGACTGGCCAAGTATGTCTCCAGACCTAAACCCTATGGAGCATCTGTGGGGCGTCTCTAACATCCACCAGCTCCATGATGTCGTCATGGAGGAGTGGAAGAGGACTCCGGTGGCAACCTGTGAAGCTCTGGTGAACTCCATGCCCAAGAGGGTTTAGGCAGTGCTGGAAAATAATGGTGACTACACAAAATATTGACACTTTGGGCCTAATTTGGACATTTTCACTTGTACTCACTTGTGATGTACTCACTTATGTTGCCAGCAGTTTAGACATTAATGGCTATGTGTTGAGTTATTTTGAAAGGGACAGCAAATTTACACTGATTTACAAGCTGTACACTCACTACTTTACATTGTAGCAAAGTGTCATTTCTTCAGTGTTGTCACTTGAAAAGATAGAATAAAATATTTACAAAAATGTGAGGGGTTTACTCACTTCTGTGAGATACTGTATGTGAGTTACGGTCCTTAGATTGTACGCCTATTGAGGGTTAGGGACTGATGTGAACGTACAATATACGTATATAAAGCAAATGACAGCTCTATATATGCACCTGTAATAAATAAATAATAAAAGGGTAGCATCACCCAAACCACTATAAGCTTATAATGTTATTTGATGGTAACTTACTTCACTCAAAGGGCGCCTTTGAAAAGCCTTCTTCCCATATTTCTGGAGATGCTCTGCGAACTGCATAGCAGATGCAGTAAAAGTTTCCAGTGCAAAGTTCTCTGGTGGTCGCGCACTTCTCGTGGGATTAGTGCGTCTTTCAACTGGACCTTCAGAAAAGCTTCTACGGCTTGTCTTTTTCTGCTTCTGGAATAAAAAATTATTTAATTATCCACAAGATCTTACCATATGTTACGTAACTTTCATGCAATGAGGGCCGGTTCACATCACAGACATGCAGTCCAGGTGCGCTCCTGCATGCACTTTTTTTTATGTGTTCCCGTGCGTTTTTAATGCATTCTGGTGCATTTTTTCTTCACCTTACATAAGGACATTTGTATTTTGATGCATATTACCGCTTTCCAATACAGTTCATGGCAGAAAAAAATGTAACTGGAACTGACTGCACTGGTGTTAACTATTCCATTGGAAACCATAAAACCTACTATCCATGCGTTTTGATGCAGAAAAGAAAAAAAAATGCACTAAACTACATGTGGTGTGAACCGACCCTTAAAGAAAAGAACAAAAAAAACATTACAAATGGGCAATTTCATACAAAAAGTCTCAGGTTGTTTCCCTCAGTTGCATCTTGGTATGTAGATAAGATTGTTCAATCGAAACTTACCTTAACCCCTATATGCCAGATGATGACTATGTAAAATAAAAATTGATATATATACTAAAGCACTTATTCTTAGATACACAATTTGTAGCAAAACGTACATATCATAACAACTACTTTGCAATCCAAGGTGGATTATACTTGATTTCTTCAGGACAAATTGGGCTTTCATTTGGTGGTAAATGGTAATGGTTATCTCCTGATTTTTTTTTTTATTATCAAAGGAAAACTGGCCAAAAATAGTAAAAAAAAATCTTTTTTTTTTAATTTTAGCTATGTGTTTCTTGTTATGACCATAACCCTATCTTTTACAAAAAGCTTTAAAAAAACCCAACCCAAAATAAATTCTCCAGCTCTTGACGATCGCAGATTGCGATACCATATATGTGTATGTTATTTGTTGTTTTGTACCCGTAGTACAGCCCAGAAAGAAACCATAGTGCGCATTTTGTTTTTGTCTTTTTTTTTTTTTTTTTTTACCTAAAACACACTAACACTAATGACACTGACATTAAACACTAACTGACACTGATACCAATTTTTTTTAAATCCTGACCTTGACCTTTGACCCTGACCTTTGACCTTGACCCTGACCTAAACACTAACCCTGGCACTGAACTAGTGATCTAGGATATTTTTTTTTTATTTTATTTTTTTAATATTTATTATTATATTTTTTTTTTTTTTTTTACAAACGTTTTTTTTTTCTTCTCTCTGACAGGAGTTCGAGAGATACAATGTATCTCTCTTCTCCATTCATAGAAGAGAGAGAGAAAAAAAAAAAACAAGGGGGCCGGGCTTGCCACAGTGACTGATCACTGTGATAGCCAATCAGAGGCTATCACAGCGATCATGTTACCCGGGACGGGAGTCCCGGGTACGATCGTTAAACGGGACCCGGTGCATCTCAGTGACTCCCCGCGCGGTCTCGTGTGCTGGGAGCACGCTGAGGGCCGCGCTCCCAACACAAAGACAGTACGCAAATATGCGGCAATTTCATACGGAAAAAAGCTCAGGTTGTTTCCCTCAGGTTGCATTTGTAGATAAGATTGTTCAATCAACTTACCTTAATATATGCAGATGATGACTATGTATGAAATAAAAATTGATATATATACTTTACACTTATTATAAATTTTAGATACACAAGTTTGTCAGCGAAACGCATTCAGCTATAATCGGCCAATTACTCCATCTGAAAATAATTTTCAAGAGTATATACATGATCTTCAAAAAATATCTCTGATTATATGCATTTATAAAAGCAACTGTATACAATAGGGGTAAGCTATATGAACGTCTAAATGACACGTGACTTCCTATTTTTTTTCCCCTTTTAGAAATTATTTTAAAGAATATTTTGAAGAATACACATTTTATGAACTCTCAGCTCAAATAACAATACAAGCACTTCAAAAAGCGGGATATTTGTGATACCATAAAATCCCTCTCTCATTGACAGTGTCCGGAGTTCATTGCTGGACACATTCTTCCAATCTTGACCATAGGGTTTATAGCGCCACCTACAGGAGTAGGATACTAGACAGAAAAATAAACTCGGCACATCCTATGGGCAGTCCTGGCTGCTATAAACCCCCTATCTGCATAGGCAATCCAGTTAGTAACAAGCAGTGTCAGAAGATAAAAAAAAAATCCAAAAGAGGGATGGTGCTGTGTCCATCAATGAACTCAGAGAAAAGGGATTTTACGGTAACAAAACAAAAAACAGTTTTCTTTCATTCAGGGATGTCCCAAAGCTGTGCCAAACAGCGACGGATGGGGGAAACCAGGGCCAAACCCAAGAAAAACATTTGTAAAGGTGCGCACAGACGACCATGTAGCCACCTTGCAAATTTGAGATAGAGACGTTTGATGACAGAAGGCCCAAGAGGCACCGTTGGCCCTAGTAGAGTGCATGGATTCGGGAAAAGGAGGAACCTGACCCTTAAGTGCATAAGATATAACCACCGTCTGCCGAATAAATCTAGAAATGGTAGCAAAAGACGTTGCCACGCCTTTCCTTGATCACGAAAAGGGAATCCAACCTACGAAAGGACTCTACCAGATGAATGCACTAGAATTTCCCGAACCACATCCCAGGCCCACAGAGCGAATTCCTTAGGATGCGACGGGCAAGGACATAAGAATGGTAGGACAATGTCCTCGTTTAAATGACTTTCAGAGAACACCTTCGGGAGAAAGAAACGGCAGGGACAGAGAATCACCTTATTTTTGTGCACCGTCAAATAGGAGACCTACAAGACAATACCGCCAACTCAGACACTATGCGGGTAGAAGTGATAGCCACTAAAAAGGCCACTTTCAGAGACAGAATTAGCAAAGGAATCACCCTAATATTCTCAAAGGTAGGCTTTTGGAGATTAGAGAGACCAGATTCAGATTCCATGGTGGCAACAGGGAGCGCACATGAGGTGCCACATGCCTAACCTCTTGAACGAAGGTATGGATCAAAGAGTGCGAGGACATTGAAAGAAAATGGTCAGAGATGAAACCTTGCCCTTGCTGGTACTTAACGCTAGCTTCTTCTCAAAACCGTTACAAAAAAGAGATAAAAAAAATCTAGCCACCGAAAAGGAACGCGGATGAACACCCGAAGCCTTACATCGTGAGGCCCTCCTAACCCTCTTATATTGAACTGTATTGTTGCTGTATTGTCTCCCTTTATATTGTAAAGCACTGAGCACACTGTTGGAGATATATAAATCCTGTATAATAATAACAATAATAATATGCCTTCCAGGTGAGATGGTATATATTCCTAGAAGACGACTTTCATGCCTTTAGCATGATAGGAATCACTGACTCTGACAGACCTCTGTCTATTAGAACCTGGTTTTCAATAGCCAAGCCGTCTAAGCCAGCGTCCATAAAGCAGGGTGGAAGATTGGCCCTTGGGACAGAAGATCTGCCTTGAGTGGCAGACACCAAGGAACGTCCACAACCAGTCGCACCACATCGGCATACCAAGAGCAGCGGGGGGACCAATACGGAGCACCCAGATGATCGGAATACCTTGCAGCAGCCAGGGTAGAAGCTTGAGAGAAGAAAAAAAAAAAAAGCATAGGAGGAGGCGATACTGGCTTCATGACACCCACCAGGGCGTCCGTTGGATCCGGAAGTGGATCCCTCGTCTTGGCCATAAATCTCGGCACCTTCCTGTTGAACTGAGATGCCAGGAAAGCCACATCTGAAAGAAAATCTGATGAAACACGTCTGGATGCAGGAACCACTTGCCTTGGTCCAACATTTGACGGCTGAGGTAATCCGCCTGCCAATTTCCTACGGTGGAGATGGGCAGACTGGAGAGAGCTGGTACATGACGCTCTGCTCACCTGAGAAAGCGGGAGGCCTCCAGTAATGCTGCCACACTCCATGTCCCCTCCCCCCCGGTGGTTGACATAGGACACTGACGTGGCATTGTTCAACTGTATCTGGACTGGATGCCCCTGAAGGCGTTCCAGTCACTGTTCCAGGCAGAGCTTGATCACCCGAAGCTCCAGGACATTGATAATCAGGTGTCCATCGACCTTGGGCCGAGATTGCCCGCTGAACACGCTGGCATCCATTGTGACCACTGTCCAATGAAAAGGAAGAAACCATTTCCCCTCTTGAAGGACAGGAGGCCAAAGCCAACAAAGCAGAGACGTCCTGGTCTTTTGATCCAGACAAACCTGGGTGTCTAAGGAGTTGGGACACTTGTCCCACTTGGATAGGACTTCCCTCTGAAGGGTCCTCGTATGCAACTGAGCGTACGTAACTGCCTCAAAATGTAGAGACCATCAGTCCAAAGACTTGCATGTAATAGTGAAGGGAGGGCCACAACAACAATCGAACTGCCGATCAAAGCTTCCATAGCTTGTCCAGCGGAAGGAACACCTTGGCCAACGCCATGTCGAGAGTCAGGCCCAGATACTCCAGCTACCTGACTGGGGTTATAGTGGATTTGTGGCAGGGGCGGACTGACAACTCATGGGGCCTCTGGGCAATAGGGGATCATGGGGCCCCTGTGTCCTTGCTCAAACTCAAAAAAGCCTATGAAAAAGGTACCAGGGGCATCTCATGGGGCCCCCTACTGACCCCGGGCCCTCGGGCAGTGCCCGAGTTTCCAAATGGTCAGTCCGCCCCTGATTTGTGGACGTTCAGGATCCACCGGAACTCTTGTAAGGTGCTGATCGTGATCGCCACGTCATCTCTCAAGGCTGAGTGAGACTTCGCCTTCAGGATGTCATCCAGATAACCAATCATGGCAATTCCCCATTGTCTGAGCAAGGCTAGGACCAGAGCCATAAATGGAGAAAAAAAATCCTATGGAACCACAGGTCCCTGCAGCAGGGAACAAGGTCACTACTCCTGAACACTAGATAGAAGAAAATTGGATTGACAAATTGGCCTGGTAAAGAAGGGGGTATAAGTGCCCGGTAGGCAAGTGGTTAAAGAGAAAACAGCATCAGAGCACAAATGATTTTTCAAGCTGGTTAAATATGATGTGGTTTAAAATAAATAATCTCTAGAAGAAAAGAAAAAAAAAAAAAAAAAAAACACTTACTGGAGGGGTAGATTTAATTGGAAACAGGTCAGGAACAGAATGAAGTTCTGCAAGTAGCTGGGCCAGCTGCAAAAGAAGTTAAAAAAAGTTAAAATTAAACACAGTAAACACAGGGCCAAGGGATCCATTCTAGAAGACAGCACGGTTGATTTACTAAAATTGAAAAAAAAGTCTGGTGCAGCTCTGTATTAAAATAAATAAAATCAGCTTTCATTGTCAAAGCTTAATTGTACAAGTGGAAGTTAGAAGCTGATTGGCTACCATGCACAGCTGCACCAGTTTTTCCACTCTTCAGTTTTAATAAGTCAAACCCAGTATATGACATGCAGGAAAGTGTCTTCAGTCACTAAGTATCTCTCAAAATTGAGACCAACCCTGGAGCTCACATCATAGACTACACTGACAACCACAGGAAACACCCAAGAATAAACGCATGTGTGTGACTTCAAGGCATGCATGTATATATTATGATTAAAGATTTACCACTAGGTGAGCTTGACAACAGCAGTGAGAATACTTCTACTGGCAATTTTAAAGAGACACTATCACTTTGCCAATGAAGGAAACATGGTGTCTCTCCCCCACCACTGTTACCCCTTACCTGTGCTCCCTCACCATTCCTTCCTCCTCCCTGCTGGCAAAGATCAGTGCTGCCAGAAACCCAAGGAAGCGGTGCCATCACTACCCAGTCATGTAAAAGTGCTAAGGCCCACCAACTCACTGTTAGGCACAGGCACTGCCTCAGGGGAGCAGGTCACATGCACCTCTATAAATAAATGTGCTGACTGCAGAGGAGAAAGAAGCTGTGAGGGAACACGGGCAAGTATAAGGTGATTTGGGGATGCCATTTGCAGAGACATGACCACTATGCCCTGCATGGACAAAGTGACAGTCTCTCATTAAGCATATTAAACTAACGTCAAGAGTCATAGACTTGGTACAAGAATATATTTACCAGGTGTCAGGAAACCTGACGGTATGCACATTTGTTCCAGGTCAAGGACTCACTCAGTACAAGGATGACATCTTCAAAAACAGAACAGCAATAGCACCACTTGGTCTTGGTAGGTTCCCTATGAAAATGTATTCATATATGGCTCTGCAGTCTGCATCTATGCATTTTTTGTTTTTGGAATAAGTAGGACGTCCTGGAAACTACTGTGTTAATTATGGGATCTTGGGCTAGAAAGGCTGAGCACCATAGGACATTTTACATATTTCAGTTTTAAAGCTGCAATTACAATCCCTATGGCTGACACTAGTGCTGTAGCTTGGAAGAGATAGTCAGCATCACAGCTTTGTCCTGACTCATGAGAAGCCAAGGAAGATGCTGACTCCAGTTTAAAAGATCTTAGATAAGCAGAATAGCTGCTCCAAGAAAACAGCTACAATAGTAAAAGTACTCTAATATACAGCTGCAATATACAGTTTTTATTTTCCTTTTTAATGTGAATACATACCACAGCCTTGTTTTCTTTTATATTCATGGCCCGTTTAAGAAGTGCATTTGAGTTTTCCAGATTAGGCTTGTCGTTTCCCCCTTCAGAATCAGAATCTCTGTTTTCCCCATTTGCTGGGTTTTTCCTTTTAGTAGGCATTTTCTTTCTGTCAGCTTTTATTTTAGAAGAGGAGTTCTTATTCTTGATCTCACACTTCTTGCTGGGAAACTGCAGAGCAATACGCAGTCCAAAGCTTCTTTTTTTTGGCGCTGGAGCTTCCTCTTCGCTACCCGACAGTGGTTCACTTAAATGATCATCATCCATGTCCTAGAAGAAAGTTCTACCATTAGAAGTGGTATATTAAGAGGAGTGTTCTACAGCAGTTCTCACGGAGGAACAAAAAACATGCCCATGCTTGTGTATATGCCAGTACTGTATAGGGTCAGATCCAGTCTTTCCATGAGATATGGTGAAAAATCTGCAACAAAATAAGACAAGTTTCATACTTTGCCCCTTGGCCTTTCAACCCATTCATGCTGATCAGGGCTGTCTTTAACAGGGTCCTTTCACACGGAGTGGACCCGTTTAGCGGATCGCTCAGCGGAGGATCTGACTGATCCCTGCTGAGCAAGCAGATGACAGATATGTGTCCACTCCGCTGCTCCATAGCAGACACAGAGCTGCTCGCTCTCCTCAATGGGTGGTCTGATAAAAACAGACCGCCTGTCTGTTTTCATCCAACCTGATCCGACGGACAGAAGGGGAATTGTATTGCCATCAGTCATCTTTTTTGTCAGAGCGGATCAGATCTTGGCGGGTGTAAACGGACACGTCCGTTTATACCTGCCGCTCCATAGAGGAGAATGGAGGTTTCGATCGGGTCCGCCTGAAAAACGGGCAGCCGGACCCAATTAGAACATCTGTGTGAAAGAGCCCATATTGACTGGACCCTAGGCAAACATTTTCTTGCCCCCCCCCATGCAATTTCGCTCTCCACCACACACAAATACTTATCTAAAAAAACTTGAATAATGTAAACATAAAGAGCTGGTCCACAGTCACCAATAAGTTGCTAGAGGTTATTGCATATCATTACTGCTCACCGATTGGTTGCTAGAGCACCTCATTTCCTTACTGCCTGCGCAACATACTAAGCGTCAGACTGCAGAGGTTACTGCAGGATACAGGAGACTGCACAGGATACAGGAGAGGGTCAGACTAGGATACAGGAGAGGGTCAGACTGCAGACAGGATACAGGGTCAGACTGCAGACAGGATACAGGAGAGGGTCAGACTGCAGACAGGATACAGGAGAGGGTCAGACTGCAGACAGGATACAGGAGAGGGTCAGACTGCAGACAGGATACAAGAGAGGGTCAGACTGCAGACAGGATACAGGAGAGGGTCAGACTGCAGACAGGATACAGGAGAGGGTCAGACTGCAGACAGGATACAGGAGAGGGTCAGACTGCAGACAGGATACAGGAGAGGGTCAGACTGCAGACAGGATACAGGAGAGGGTCAGACTGCAGACAGGATACAGGAGAGGGTCAGACTGCAGACAGGATACAGGAGAGGGTCAGACTGCAGACAGGATACAGGAGAGGGTCAGACTGCAGACAGGATACAGGAGAGGGTCAGACTGCAGACAGGATACAGGAGAGGGTCAGACTGCAGACAGGATACAGGAGAGGGTCAGACTGCAGACAGGACAGGAGAGGGTCAGACTGCAGACAGGAGAGGGTCAGACTGCAGACAGGATACAGGAGAGAGTCAGACTGCAGACAGGATACAGGAGAGGGTCAGACTGCAGACAGGATACAGGAGAGGGTCAGACTGCAGACAGGATACAGGAGAGGGTCAGACTGCAGACAGGATACAGGAGAGGGTCAGACTGCAGACAGGATACAGGAGAGGGTCAGACTGCAGACAGGATACAGGAGAGGGTCATAGATCGCAAGCATACCGTAAAGAGAATGGACTGCACCTCCCTGTGTACTGCCCACTGCAATTCCCCATGTACAGTCTGATCACTCATAATGGTTCTTTTCGACCACTACAACAGGTGCTCCAAGTGTCCCCACACCACACGTCATTTACTTACTGCTCTGTATTTCACCAGCAATGACTACAGGTCCCAGACTCCCAGCATGGACTGTACAAAGGAGGGCAGAGGGATTGGCTGTTAGGAGGGATGTGGAGGTCACGTGACAGCGGGTCAGGCAGTGATTGTTTGGGACTCGGGAAAGGGGACAAAGCACCGAGCTGGGAAATTCAAGATGAGGTGAGAGGGAGCCAGATACACATCCTCCTGTACCTGTCCTGGCGCTGCACTCTGCCACAGTAGCATTCGGCCGGCTTAGGAAATGCGAGTGAGCAGTTCCAAAGCCAATCGCAGCCAATTTTTTATGGGCAATGTGGGCTCAAGGGGCAGCAGCTTTAGGCCCCACAATGGCTGGGCTCTGGGCAGCTGCCCCTTTTGCCCCGCATATTTAAAGACGGCCCCTGACCAGGCAGAGTGAATTTCACATAAAATTAGAAAATACTGTATATAAAACAAACACCTCTGTTTTTAATACATAGAATTTAAGAAGTGCTGGCCATTTTTTTGTAGTTGGATTTATACGGTGCCGTCATTAGCCACATGCCCTTCTACATAACTGTGGGTGACAGTGCAAGGCAAGATGTTGAATGCATGAAAATGCACCCTGCCTAACAATGTTCACTCCTCAAGGCTGACATCTATCCATCAAGAGAGGCAGAAGAAAGGTGTGGGGTGCTGGATCTCTTAAAGTGGTTGTAAACGCAAATATACAAACATTTACTTTTTGCCATAAATTAATACATTTTAATGTAAACATGCATACAGCTGTGAGTGTACCTCAGAACAATGCTCCAGTAGCTTGTCTCAGCACTCCAAAACCTGGTCTGTGGGCGTGGCTTAGGACCAGAGAATAGTAGGCAGAGATGTGATGTCTCAGAATCCCTCAGTTATACACACCCTCCAGCCTCGGCTCAAGAACGTGCACAGCTCTCTGCGAGCATGTCTCCTGAGTGCATTCAGGGGAATACACAGGTGCCAGTGACTATGTCAGCTCTGCTTACAGCACAGGATTTGTGCTAATCAGGAGAAAGCTGATAGGAAAGGGTTAATGTTAAAAATCCTAGGAATCCTGCAGTCTAAAGTGGCAATGTGGACCAGGAAATATTCTCATGTAAAACTCTGTAAACAATTCACAAGCTGGGTGCTGTGAATAGGACAATAATCGGCTGTTAGCAGACTTACCTAGATAACTACAGCATTACTGAAGTGATGCCGATCTATGTCATAAATCACTGCTGCTGAGTTCTCGATCTTGTGAAGGCAGAGGACACCCGCTCCCCCACCCCTTTGCAGTGTATTACATGGATGCTCATGCTGGTCTCATCTTCAGAATAGCCTGTTACTCACAGACAGGGGGGGGGGGGGGGGGGGGGGGGGGGGGGGGGGGGGGGAGTGGTGACACCATTTTTATGGTTGTTTTAGATTTATTCTGTTCAGAAGAGCAGAGGGGATTTCTGGAGAAGGGGATTGCTTCAAAATACTAAACTAAACTCAAATGCTTAGTATAGGTAAAATCTATTCAACTGTAGGATTAGAGTGATTTGTGTTTTTAGGTTTACAACCACTTTAGAGAAGTAGCTGTACTCAATCAGGTCTTAATCAGTGTAGAGAGAATGATTATCTTTAAGCAGCTCTCTCAGGAATGGTAGCCAAAAGGTCAGATTTTGCTGGAGTAGGGTCTGGGTATGTAAGGAAGAGAGTGCCAAAAGAACAGCAAGTCTAGATTCAATTCAAAGAAGTCAATTTATTTGGAATCCGATATCACAAAAAGACAATGCATTTTGGGGGTTCAGATTATTTATGAACGAAGGTAACAATATATAGCATATTAACCGTCAGTTTTAACGTGCTCTATGCCCTATCCAGCTGATCTTACTGTCATCAGACATTACATGCAGCTTGGAGGGATATACGGAATGTTGTTATTAAGCTGGGAATTGGAACTAAAAATCTCCAATGATGTTTTGTCCTCTACCTTCACTTTTACCTTTATCAGAGCAATTACAAACCCCTGTACATCTTGACTACAGAGTAGCAGAAACTGTATACTTCTGACAACACATAGTGCATACACAGGGAAAACTCACAAAGATCTATTTGTGCGATACAGAACCTATACACCGATCAACCATAACATTAGGACCACCCATTGAGGCATAGCCCATATTAAAGATCTGAAGGTATACTGTGGTATCTGGCACCAAGCTGTCAGTAGCAGATCCTTAAGTCCTTTAAGTTGCAAGGTGGGACCTCCATTTGACGTTTTCCAGCACATCCCACAGATCCTCGACTGGACTGAAAACTGGAGGCCAAGTTTACACCTCAAATCATTATAGAATTCATCAGACCAGGCCACATTCCTCCATTGTTCTTTGGTCCAGTTCTGATGCTCATGTGCCCACTGTAGTTGCTTTTGGCTGTGATATTGGTCAACATGGGCACCCTGACTGTCTGCGGTTACGCAGCTCCAAACACAATGAACTGTGATGCACTGTGACTGACCCCTTTCTATTAGAACCAGCATCAACTTTTTCAGAAATATGAGCTACAGTAGCTCTTCTATTGGATCAGATTACATGGGCAAGCCTTCACTCCCCATCAATGAGCCTTGGCCACCCATGACCCTATTGCTGGCTCACTGATTTTCCTTCCTTCAACCACCTTTGGTAGGTCCCGACCACTGCAGAGCAGGAACATCCCACAAGAGCTGAAGTTTTGGAGATGCCCTGACCTAGTCATCTAGCCATACACTATGGACCTTGTCAAAAGTCTCAAATCCTTATGCTTGCCAATGTTTTCTGCTTTCAACACATCCACCTCAGTAACATTGTTCACTTGCTCCCTAATATATTCCAATTTCAAGTGCCATTGGGGAGATTTACTAAAACTGGAGAGTGCAAAATCTGCATAGAAACCAGTCAGCTTCCAGGTTTTATTGTCAAAA